TCCACACATCTTAAAGTTGCTGAGGTTGAGAACCATTGGCTTAAGTAATTCCCAGGAAGCTGAACATTCTTTGCTGTTAGGTTCAGTGCTTATTTTTGGGGTTGCACCAGCAGAAAACTGGTGTAAGAGAACGGGCAAGTTCTCACCAGCATTGATTGGTGTTTGATTTGGGACTGATAATGCTTCAAGTCTTTGTTTTCCCAAGCCAGCAGCATCCTTAGAAAACATTCCTCTAGAAATATGTCCACGGATATTATTAGCTGATTCACATCCATATCCTGAGCCTGGTTTGCTCACGAAGAGGTGCCTATCGTATTGGTTGGTGGCCAAAGCAACTTTTGGACATCCACCTCTTGTCCTGTTTGCGTGCCTGATTGTCTGAAGGGGATTCCTGTCTGGTTCCTAGGTTTAACGAGTTGGAGTTGCACGGTCTCTCCGTGACAAAAAGCCATAGGTTGAGGACAGGACCGTTTCCTCCACAGAAATACCGAAAACCCCATTTGGCATCCCAGCAAGATAGGAGGAACGGTTACGGTCAGTTGCCCGGAACTGTGCTTAGCAAAGTCATGATGAAGATGGAACCTCCAGGAGATCTAACTTTCAGTTGACTTTGTTATCCCTGCTGCTAAAAGGCGCAGAGGCAGCTGATGAACCTCATTATAAATCTGCTCTGTTTCCAGGTTTTGGGGTTTTTGGTTAAGCCCCTCCATGTTATCAGGTCATGTACTTTGGACCCCACAGGCTCACCCTTCACTGATTTCTGAAGCGTTTGACTTCACTTTACAATTCCTTCACTTTACAGCAGATACCACAGTTAGTTTGGCTTGTTCTGAAAAGAATGTTTTCCTCCATTTCTGTTGTAAGAACTTCAAGTAAGGGGTAGGAAATAGGATAAAGATGTTTCTGGTCTAGCTTGTTCCAGCCTTCAGAGCGTGTTTCCTGTGGAGAACCATGAGCTCCTACGCCTTGCATTCCCGGATTTTCTGCTCGTTCCATAAAATCAGCCCAGACATCTTCAAAGCTTTGGGCTAAGTGTGGAGTTTTACTCTGGGTGCAGCACGGACATCCTTGGGGTGTGAGGATAGACTTGCCCATCTTTTCTTCAGTTGCTGGGGATTAATGGGAGTTCACTTTGTCAGGGTGTTTTAAGCAACATGGGAGAAGTGCTCCGAACCCATTGAGTCAATCCTGAAGGCTAGAAACGTAGGACTTAGTAAGAAGGCACACCATTAATCATGGTGACGGAAAAAGTGCTTAAGTGCGTTGTACGGCAAGGAACATATGGCTCCTTGAATAATCCCCATCTTGTGTTTTCATTCATTCCAGCCAAAATGCATTTAGGGCCCTAGGAAATTTGGCAGCCCATCTGTGGCTGAACTTGGGAAGGCTGATGGGCCAATTCCCTTTGTTCCTACTCCTTCCTGCCTTCTGGTGGCCGTGGGCTCCGAGCCCACCCTCGTTAACCCACAGGGGGGGCGGTCACAGAGCAAAAGAGAAAAGGGGTCTCCTTGCCTTGTCAGAGGGGGGTTCGTTTTGCAGCTCCAGGACCTTATTTTCAGGATGAAGAGGGCAACTACACCTTACATCATGCCCATGTTTTAGAAAGTGGGCTTACTGATGTCACTGTTCTGGGCTGTGATGCCCAGAGAGGTGGGCAAGAAGGAGGAGGTGGAGGTTACTAGTAGTTGTACCCTGAGCAAAACAGGAAAAATCCTAACACGGTGTAAACAATTTAACAATATAATAATTTACAATATTAGGGTTAATTCTGGCAATGCCATTATTTAAAGCAGCGTTGATAATGTCACTAAAAAGAAATGTTCTTCCAGCTTCCTAAAAATGCTGAATTTATAAATATTTCAAAGGTGGTTTAAACCCAAGGAGATTGGGCTCAAAATATAGTTGATTCCAAAGAGAAGGAGCTGGATGGGAGAAAGCTCTGAAAAACAAGGTGGAAATTGAGATTTTCTGTAGCATCTCAGCCCTGTTTGGCCCTGTTAGAATTTTGTTCACTTTATGTGTGGTTTAAAGATGCTTTCCTGCCTTGAGTGTTTTGCACTTGTAAGTTCACACAATGCCATGTAGATGCTTTGCCATCCGTTAGAAAAGAAGGTTTTGCATGCACAGATTTATGCCAGATAGATTGAGGATCTTTTTAATGTATTGGGAGCGCGTGTGTGGATGGATGAAGGACTTGACTGGGATCTGTAGGTTCTGCGTTCAAATCTTTCGCTTTCGAGAAAGGAAGAGATGTGAATGTGGAAAAACTAGTAACCCTATGGAAGCTTCCCATTGCAGGCGAGCAGAGGTCTGAGAGATGAAGGGTGAATTGTGAAGCTGCTGATTATATTTATCATGATCTTGTGACTTGGGCATACACAGAAGAAGGGGGAAGAAATTATTTCTTTTCCTTGAAGGAAGGAGAAGCCCTAGATAACAAACATGGGATTGAATAGGCGCTTAAATGGCCTTTTTGTTTTGCTTTTAACTTTTTTTTTTTTTTGGAGATTATGGAATTGGTTGAGATTTCTGGAAAAAAGCACCCCCTTTAATGATTTCCAGTATTTGGAGTATGGAAATAGTTCTGAAGTCTGAGAATGAATTGGTTGATAGCAAAACCAGACGTCCCCTTTTTAAAAGCTCATTCTCCCTCCAAGTCTGTAAAACTAGCTGGATGGAAAGGTTTTGATGAGATGAGATTTATCATGTGGAAGAAGCTTTTTAATAAATGAAGTTGTCCTGCTTTGGGACATTTCAACTTGTTTGACCACTAAGGTTATATATCTTAGTCTGTTGGAGTTGGGCAGCCAATTCATTTAAATAAATAAACAAACAAACAAATAGCTTGCAGGCTGAATTCAGCTTGTGGTTCAACAGGCACAGATTGATAGAGGTAGAAGACACAGACCTTTCTAGAGGTTTTGTGGAGTTAAATTTTTAAAGACCTGATCTGACATTTCTCATGCTTGAGAATCTCTCCAATTTTCTAAAGTGAATGCAAGAACCCCATTCATAATGTCCTTTACCGACTTCAAGAGGTTAATTGCTGAATTCGACAGCTGAACCTTAGTTAAACCTGCCGCTGATTGTCTCTCCTTGGAAACAGGCTAAAAGTCAGAGAGAAAATGTGCCAGCTATTTTTAAATTTGCAGAACCTGTTGCTAGGCACTGGTGCGTGCAAGGTGGTCTGGTTGGGCAGTGGGAAGCATCACGGATGGCGAGAGTAAAGGATTCCCTTTGCTCTCCCCACAGCCATTATGCCACGGAAATAAGACCCAGAGCATGAATTGGAGCATGAATGCTTCCAGAGAGCTTTTGTACAGCAGAGATCATCCAGGACACGTTCTTTCTCTTTAGAATAGGTAGACCTATAACCAATTTTTTAAAAAATGATATATTGTCAAAATAATATAGGAAATAGATCATAAATCAAAGAACCAAATACAGGCAGTGAAGTACAGGTAATTATAACCAGTTTTAATGAGCATTGGCACTTGTAGTTCCTCAGGCTAAATGTTTGGGAATCAGGAACATTTGCTAACCTTCTGCACGCAACTCAGAGTTTCATAGTCTTTTGCTATCGTTTGGACTTTCCAAATTCCAGTATGATGGGGGAGTCTGGAAGTGGATGTGTGTGCAAGCAAGGAGCGTCCAGAACACGAATCTTGGACTCTCCAAGGCTCATCCCTGTTACGCCTATTTATACATGGCAGGGTTAGATTTGAAAGAGTCCATAATGGCTCACCTAAGTTTGGAAAGCAGATTGTGACTAGTTCACAGCTGGGGCTCTCCACTGCCATGTCAGAGGTGCTGAATGGCCAACCTTGGCAACTTTCAGTTGCATAGACTTCAACTCCCAGGATTCCTCAGCCAGCCAACCCTGAGCAGTTGCATTGCTGGAGGCAACAGTGAACATGAACCCATCAGAGGCAGGGGAGGTGATCCGCCTCTTAAAGAGGAGCTTCAAGCGTTCATTTATGATAGACAAAACAGTAAGCGAGAGGACAGATGCATCGTGAGATGTGCCTGATATGAGGATTCCAGTCCTCAGTAAGGTTATACCTATGGTTGCTTGATATCCATGCAAGGTTGGATGAAAATGAGTCTGTCATACAGACTAAGATGTCCAAAGTCAAGGTAGAAAAGTGGAACATGCAAAGAAAGGCTGGCAGTAGATCCAGTAGGCTACAAATCCTTGTCATTCCTCTGCACTGTTTTCTTGGGATGCTATTTCCACATCACCTTGTACCTGCTAAGATTAGTGGCGTGCACACGGAACATGCGATTGGCCTTGTGCATGGGGAAAGAATTGGTGCCGATGTGCACTATAAAGATGAAAAAAGAAATCTAGAACCCTTAAAAGGATAGCATTCGGATCTACATGTTGGTGGGTTTCACGTAAAATAATTAATGGCGGAGAATTAAAATACTGGCCTGAAGGTATTACAAGATCCTAAAAACCAGCTGTGCAAGACAGGCCTTCTGGGAGATTCATATTCCCCACCATAAAAAGAACAACAGGCAAAGTTTTAGACGGAAGCTACAGATTAGTTCTGCAGAGAAATCTTCCCCGGGGGAGAAAAATGATGAGATCCAGGCTAGACGCAAACTGACATGATTCCGCTTTCACTTGTCTGCAGAGGTCTCTGAATCGTATAATGTTCCTTATCTTCATTAATAATCCCCATTATGGGTGTGCCTCTTTCCTTTTATCCTTCTCGGTTTCCTGTGATTTCCATGCAGAGGGGCTAACCAGAATGGAACATCTTGGTCATGGTTTAATGTACAAAAGAAATCTGTAATTAAAAATGTCAAGGAAGTACGCAATTTAAACTAATTCATTAAAAATGCATGGGAGAGATTTACATTCGCGTGTAAACGTTAGATGAAAAGCTTGCAAATTTGACCTGATTTGCTGGCAGACAGGACTATCTCGGTAATTAAGGCTCTTAGACCAAAGGCAGTGACGGAGGCATTGCCATTATTACCGAAAACCGAACTGCAATATTTTTCTCTTTTTGGATGTCAGACCTGAGCAATGACATCTTGAGCAGCTTGGTCAAATCCAGCCACGCCAGCTGTGTGGGAAAAGGATGGGATGTGCCATTTCTTCGTCATCTGCTTGGAGTGGGAGGAACAGGATGGCAACATCAGTGCTTACGGAATGCAAGATACATTTTATTTTCAACAAAGATCCAGCCAGCCTTTTATTCTGCTCCAGGGAGCATATGGAAGCGTTCTTTCCGCTATATTAACACACTTACAGTTTGAGATGTGCAGAAGTTATAAATAAAGAAGCAATTGCCCTAAATTCTGGTTTTTTTTTCCCCGCATCTCAGAAATCTGGTGGTCTTTCCAGTATCATGTGGTTTTCTCCTATCTGCGCATTTAACACCACTCTGCTATTCTTTCTGCATTAAACTTTAATGTCTTCTTATTTCTGTCGCTTGTGAATCTCTCAGCTGTCACCGATGACAGATAGCTGTTCCAGTAGGAATTTAAAATCTCCATACCGTCTGGCAAAAATACTGTAAATGCTGAGAGTTTTCTGCACTCATAATAAACTAGAAAGTGCTGCAGGAAGTCTTATTCTGTGAAGCAGGGTGAATCTCAAACTATTAATTAAAGTCTGCATCAACTTTATGAGATGAGTCTCTTTAAAAAAAGAAGGCTATGGAAATAAGGGAGAGGTGGCTTTTAAAAAGTTGGATTTGTGGTGTAATAGAAAACAAAAAGTATTTTAATAAACATGTGGATTTATTTTTCCACAGTGCAAATACATTTTAAAATCAGTGGGTCAAAGCCTTTTGTTTAGAAGTTACTAACGTCAGCAGGAAGAGGAACACAGTACAAATGGTGTTTATTTAAAAATAAGTCAGAGTTATTTGGTATAAAATGTGTCCTAATGATTTCACCGAGTAGCCTATTTATTTACTGTATTTGTTTAACCCAGTGTTTTTCAAACATGGGAAGTTTAAGGTGTGTGGACTTCAACTCCCAGAATTGAAGCTGGCTAGGGAACTCGGGGAGCTGAAGTCCATACATCTTAATCTTGCTGAGTTTGAGAAACACTGGGTTAATCCATAATGCTAGTTGTTCCTGCAAAGAACCTTGAAGCAGTGTAAAAATCTAATCAAAACCAGAATTAAAAACCATCAGAAGAAACACATGTGGAGGGGAGTTAATGGCTGGGGAAGGCCAACTCTACCAGGGTAGATTCTTAAGGTCCCTCAGATGCCTCAGCATTGGAGTCTGGGAACTGCTTGTAGAAATCAAAGGCAATTTCCTGGGTGGCCACACCCTTTCAATGGACGCTTCTTCTGGAGACAGGCTCCATCCAAGTCCCTTGGCTTGTAGGAAGCTTTAAAAACTAACACCGACGTCTTGAACTGAGCCCCAAATTAATGTATTAACCTTTGATGTTGCTTTAATACTGATACAACCTGCTGGTCCAAAGGGCTGTTGCATAGCTTCAAAGGTATTCTCTCCTTCCTTCCGTCACATGGATATTGCAATACGGCTCTGCGTGGTCATCCTCCACGAGACGCCAGTTCTCTAGTTCCTGGGTTTTCTGCATTGCAATGCTTTGCATCAGTTTGCCATGTCTCAGCTTCTGGATCCTCCGCTCCCTCCTGTTGAGGGTCTCCAGCAGATCCCAATGGCTAGAGAGTAGTTTTCTGAATGGGGCTGAGACTAACCCTCCTGACCTTATGACCAAAGTTCAGTTTCGCAAGGGTGTATTGATGTGCTGCTGCTGTCTCCAAGTTGGGGGGACGCAGGCAGTGCTATGTTGGCATGCAAAGCAGTCTCAAGATAGAGTTCCTAGGTTGCGCAGAACAGTACATGCCCAGGATACAGCTGGGTTTGAGTTGTGCTTATGGCCTACGAGCAAAAATAGATTGGAGGGATAGCATGTCAGCATGGATATGGGGTTTTGGACTGGATGTTTTTAAACTTTTGTTCTTGATGTAAAGAATAGGGGTTTCCTTATGGTCCTCTTAAACAGTGCCTACTGCAGGTCATTAGCTTGCAAACTCCTACAAGGAAACAGAGCATGCCACCCATTCTTTGCCAGTTTGCTCCCCTGCCTATGCAGAACTCCATGCGCTGTCCTGCATGTGAGTCCCGTATTTTTGCCATTAGGCTAATGCTTACACTACATTTGGTAAATCATGGTGGCCTTACTCCTTTTTTCCAGCAACAGTTGCAGTCCTACATCGCCTGGGTGAATTCACAGCTAAAGAAGAAGCCAGCAGTTAAACCAGTGCAGGATTTGAGACGCGACCTCCGAGATGGCGTGGTCCTTGCCTCTCTCATTGAGGTTGTAGGTGAGTAGCAATGTTGCAAAGATATTCTGATGGTTTTCAACTGCCCCTTCCACTGGATCAAGTGGGCGGAACAGAGAAACCGTGCAGGAGAGAAGGGTACTCATAACCGTTCACCTCCCACTCACGCTGGCCGGGGAATACTGGAGGTTGAAGACCACACATCTTAAAGTTGCCAAGTTTGAGAAACACTGTACTAGCTTTTCGATGCTCCCAGAGGAGAACAAAATATATTTTATACTCACAGTGGCATCCTAAGCCAAGGGGTGGCCAAGGCTGGCCATTATCCCCCTGGTAAACTCCGAATTTGCAGGGAAGTCTTGCCCTAAAATTTTGCTGCTTCTCCTTTGCAGCTGGAGAGAAACTGAGTGGCGTGGAGGTCACACCCACCAACCAGCAGGCAATGAAGGAGAATGTGGAAAAAGTCTTACAGTTTGTGGCATCGAAAAAGATCCGCATGCACCAGACATCAGCTAAAGGTGAACCCCAACCATAAGCTGGTGACCTTGAAGGGCCTGGATCTTGTCCTTGTGCTTCTCTTGCTGAGGATAATGAAATGTGGGTGCCAGAGAGAGATGAAAGCCGTGTGCTTTTCCACTGTGCCTGCGGCCATCTCATGATTCGCGAGGAACGTTTTGGCTTTCAGACTTGAAGTTCTAGCTGCCTTGGGCCCTGGGGTGTAGGAAGGGAGGCATGATGGTGTCAGTGAAATCAGGGAGGGTGTGACTCCCTGCTTCTTCCAGGGGTAGAAGAGTACTGCCTTGCAGGTTTAGAGGCATCAGCTGGACATCTCATGAGCATCAGGGGGAACCAGTGGTTCCTTGAAAGCATTTCTTGTCTTGCTCAGTGAGGATGTGTGCAAGAATGTAGGTGTCAGCCTCGTCAGAGCTCTCACATGCCTCAGAAAACAAGTGACGTTGTGCACTCCTACAATGAGCAGGGCTCAGCTCTTTGAGGATCTCTCAATGACTGTATTCTTTGGGGGCTTATCCCAATGGTTGGTGAGCACCGTATTAAGCCTGTGCAAGAGAAAAAAGAAGTCTGGATGGAGTGCAGCAAACTAGCTTCCAACGTTTTCCCGGTGCCTTGCAATTGTCTTGCACGTGCGCGCACACACCCACCCGCCCTGGCTGTATTTGTTTTCATGATCAGGGGGAAAAAAGCTTAGTTGAAGCCTAACAAAGTGATGGAAAAGCCACAATGGCCTCTTAATTTCTACTTTTGAGGTTTAAATGAACATAGTGGGCCTACAGCAGTGTTTCTCAACCTCAACAACTTTAAGATGTGTGGACTTCAACTCCCAGAATTCCCC